ATGGAAGACTCAAAGCTTTTCTTACCTGGCAGAAGGTGAGTCTCTTGTTGGGAGACTCTTGAATGACACAGGCAATGAGTCCCAAATATGTCCTGTGGCTTTTGGAGTATCTCTGATATTTCCTCCTTTGCGCACCGCTGGGTGGCGCCTGAAAGCACGCGCAGCTCCGCTGGAAGGAGATCTCGGTCATGTTGTGCATCTCTTCGCGGAAGAGGTTCCAGGGCGGAGAACAAATGGGAGCGCAGTAGTTTGGTACCGTTCACCCAAGGTGGTGGATATCGAGTGCTGGAGACCTGCAATCCTTCGGATATGTACCCTAATGGAACAATGGGTCGAAGTGAAGGTGCGCATTCCTATGGGGATGTTGCCTTTTCAGACACCAGCAAGGTGTTAAGTGTGGAGGTGGTCCTGTCAATGAGGAATGCCGATTGTTTAGTTTCCATTGAAGAGTTATTTTAATTTACCCAAAGCTGTGAGTGTCGTTACGTTCTACAGTAATCAGGAATAACTTTCTCTAATACAGATAAACACCAAAGAGGCGTGCAAGATGCCGCATGTCATTAACAGTGTAGAAAACTCAGTAAAGGGGAATCCTATCCCAAACGTCATCGCAAATCATGGAGATGATGCAGAATTTGACAATTCGTCCGACATCTGTCTGCCAGAGAGTACTTAATATTCCCAGGCTGAATCAATGAGATATTATTGACATTGTTCTTTTTTTAAATGCTAAAGTTGTTCAAAAATGGATTGTGATGTCTGCGAAAAACAACAAAATGTAGGCAGCATTTTCGAAAGCAAACTGACTGACATGTAATCCGTGAGAGAGAGAAAAATTAAAGGTCAGATTCATTAACGGGCAAAAATGAAATATTTTATGAGCGCAACAGAGGTTCATTTTATTCCCCGTGAATTTTTTTTCCATGTGGGACGAAATTATTGCGCTGCGAATACATTTGTTTCATATGAAGATATGGTCCGTTCCCAAACTACATGGAATTAGAGAATTTTACCCCAGTCATCACCTTGATTGATTGAGGTGATTATTCACTTGAAGGTGGCAAGCGTTGCTGTTGAGAGATTCCAAATATGAAATGAGGTTTAACTGAATGGAACACTTATGGAATGCAAGGAATTGACAGCTTAGGGCACCCTCCCTTACGATTAACATAACACTTTGGTTAGGCGTGTTGATTGGGCTAAGGAGTTTAAATGAAAGTTAATTAATAAATAAGTGAAACATACCTATTAAAGCAGAGAGTTATAGGTTACCGGGTAAGAAGGCATTCAGCAATGATGTAAATTTAATTCGTTTGCAAGTACTTCTGATGTTACTTTCGAGTAATTGTAATGAAGAGAAGAAAACGATCCAAGGCAGAGTCATGCATGACGCTGTTTTTGACATTTCAACAAGTGGTTTTTGAAATCTCTGAAAGAGTTTGGTGATGAACTGGTGTGTAAAATGTGTTAGCATTAATAATAATAATACATTTTATTTGTAACGCACTTTACATTTGAAGCAATCTCAAAGTGCTACAGGATAAAAACATCACAGCAGTCCATCATGAATCATAGGATATCAGGTAAAAAAAAAATAATAATAATAAAAATTGAAATTGCTGTGTTTCCTTTCGACTCTGCTGGATCAGGGACGTATACAGCATGTGTCGCCGTGAGTTAGAAGGCAGTGGCCGTTTAGAATGAGATTAAGGTGAAAAGCTCTGTCAGAAGTGGGATTCGAACCCACGCCTCCATTCAGAGACCAGAAAACCCACACTGTAAGGGAAGGTTAAACACCTTGAGTCTGGCGCCTTAGACCACTCGGCCATCCTGACAAGAACGCGTCAGCCCGCTCAGCCAATGATCTTTTTTTGTGTGTGTGTAAACTCTCTCGTCTGTGATGGCGATTGCAACCCTTTTGTCAGAAAAGTAATTAACCAGTACTGTACGTTAACCTGTTTGACAAATACATCAAGCCATTTCTGCCAAGGGGTAGTTTATCTAAGCTGCTCTATGTACGTCACGGGTACGTTGCATGATATCTTTAAAGGACATTTCATCGCTGGCGTACTGCAGTCTCAATGCTACTTGTAAAATAATACAAGGACACCATTTAGGACAATAAAGATTTATTACGAATTGTTCAAGAAGTAGTCATTTGCAAAAATTGAATGGTGGAGCTGAGAGGCAATCATTCCTCTAGGAGAGATTATGACGGGCGCGTCTGGAAACACGCGCATCCTCTTGAGGGGCCTGATTGCATTGCACACTTCTGAAACGCGCAGAATTTCTGCAGCCGAGTAAGTTGAATAACAGCGGTCCTTAGAGAGCAGAAAGCTTGCATCCTGATTCATGAGCTCTCCGAACGCAATTCTGTTTTCTGTTGGCCCACAGATATGTTTCTCCCAGCTAGTTTTCCCTTTGGCTGCAGCTGCTATCGGTGTGCACGAAAACGGTTGAGCTACTCCGTGCGACGTAGCGGACACAAAGGATAAGGCGCCAGTTTTGGAGCACGGATGCGATTTGGGGTCCTTCTTCAAAATAGACTCGATGGAAAACGGACCGTTGAACTTGGTGGTGCATGCCTTCTGGACAGCAGGGCAACTTGGCTCTGGTGCGTTGATGACTTTGAAATTGTCCGGACGTGTGTTTGCGTTCCCTTTCACTCTGGAAGCCAGTTCGGGGAAGATGTCCAGCATGCCCTTGAAGTGGCGTCGAAATATTTTTGGAGTGATCCGGCTTTCATCAACTTTCCAGAAATTTCTTTTTGAATGTGGTTGATCTGGATTGACAGGCACCTACAAAACAAAGACATGCTTGGATTGTTGTAATCGCAGAGTACTGGTCTTAAAAAAACAAACAAACAAAGAAACAAACAACTACATAGAGGAATGGTCCCACATCCTTGATCAACAGCATAGTTTGAGACACATACCTTGACAAAACAGTCGTTGGATGACAAGCAGACTCTGATATTATTTACAAGACCCTTTCTGTCCCCTGAGACGAAAGCTTCCAACTTGTCCATTATCTGGAAAAAAAAAGAGACCAAATTGTTAATTCAGTGGGCAACACCTTATGATTCATGCAGCTGCCAGTGTTTTTTTTTTTTTGTACGTTTTCACAAGCGTTTTACAAGAGTCAAATCACTGACGTCGTGACGGTGCCATATTCTTCATATTAAATGACCTTTCATTCTGTACATGACATGTGTTTAGAAAACGCTATAAACGCGAGCCACCTCGGGCACAAGAGAACAGAAGCGTATCCATCCGTGCGATGGAAGACTCAAAGCTTTTCTTACCTGGCAGAAGGTGAGTCTCTTGTTGGGAGACTCTTGAATGACACAGGCAATGAGTCCCAAATATGTCCTGTGGCTTTTGGAGTATCTCTGATATTTCCTCCTTTGCGCACCGCTGGGTGGCGCCTGAAAGCACGCGCAGCTCCGCTCGAAGGAGATCTCGGTCATGTTGTGCATCTCTTCGCGGAAGAGGTTCCAGGGCGGAGAACAAATGGGAGCGCAGTAGTTTGGTACCGTTCACCCAAGGTGGTGGATATCGAGTGCTGGAGACCTGCAATCCTTCGGATATGTACCCTAATGGAACAATGGGTCGAAGTGAAGGTGCGCATTCCTATGGGGATGTTGCCTTTTCAGACACCAGCAAGGTGTTAAGTGTGGAGGTGGTCCTGTCAATGAGGAATGCCGATTGTTTAGTTTCCATTGAAGAGTTATTTTAATTTACCCAAAGCTGTGAGTGTCGTTACGTTCTACAGTAATCAGGAATAACTTTCTCTAATACAGATAAACACCAAAGAGGCGTGCAAGATGCCGCATGTCATTAACAGTGTAGAAAACTCAGTAAAGGGGAATCCTATCCCAAACGTCATCGCAAATCATGGAGATGATGCAGAATTTGACAATTCGTCCGACATCTGTCTGCCAGAGAGTACTTAATATTCCCAGGCTGAATCAATGAGATATTATTGACATTGTTCTTTTTTTAAATGCTAAAGTTGTTCAAAAATGGATTGTGATGTCTGCGAAAAACAACAAAATGTAGGCAGCATTTTCGAAAGCAAACTGACTGACATGTAATCCGTGAGACAGAAAAAGATTAAAGGTCAGATTCATTCACAGGCAAAAATGAAATATTTTATGAGCGCAACAGAGGTTCATTTTATTCCCCGTGAATTTTTTTTCCATGTGGGACGAAATTATTGCGCTGCGAATACATTTGTTTCATATGAAGATATGGTCCGTTCCCAAACTACATGGAATTAGAGAATTTTACCCCAGTCATCACCTTGATTGATTGAGGTGATTATTCACTTGAAGGTGGCAAGCGTTGCTGTTGAGAGATTCTAAATATGAAATGAGGTTTAACTGAAAGATCACTTATGGAATGCAAGGAATTGACAGCTTAGGGCACCCTCCCTTACGATTAACATAACACTTTGGTTAGGCGTGTTGATTGGGCTAATGAGTTTAAATGAAAGTTAATTAATAAATAAGTGAAACATACCTATTAAAGCAGAGAGTTATAGGTTACCGGGTAAGAAGGCATTCAGCAATGATGTAAATTTAATTCGTTTGCAAGTACTTCTGATGTTACTTTCGAGTAATTGTAATGAAGAGAAGAAAACGATCCAAGGCAGAGTCATGCATGACGCTGTTTTTGACATTTCAACAAGTGGTTTTTGAAATCTCTGAAAGAGTTTGGTGATGAACTGGTGTGTAAAATGTGTTAGCATTAATAATAATAATACATTTTATTTGTAACGCACTTTACATTTGAAGCAATCTCAAAGTGCTACAGGATAAAAACATCACAGCAGTCCATCATGAATCATAGGATATCAGGTAAAAAAAAATAATAATAATAAAAATTGAAATTGCTGTGTTTCCTTTCGACTCTGCTGGATCAGGGACGTATACAGCATGTATCGCCGTGAGTTAGAAGGCAGTGGCCGTTTAGGAATGAGATTAAGGTGAAAAGCTCTGTCAGAAGTGGGATTCGAACCCACGCCTCCATTCAGAGACCAGAAAACCCACACTGTAAGGGAAGGTTAAACACCTTGAGTCTGGCGCCTTAGACCACTCGGCCATCCTGACAAGAACGCGTCAGCCCGCTCAGCCAATGATCTTTTTTGTGTGTGTGTAAACTCTCTCGTCTGTGATGGCGATGCAACCCTTTTGTCAGAAAAGTAATTAACCAGTACTGTACGTTAACCTGTTTGACAAATACATCAAGCCATTTCTGCCAAGGGGTAGTTTATCTAAGCTGCTCTATGTACGTCACGGGTACGTTGCATGACATCTTTAAAGGACATTTCATCGCTGGCGTACTGCAGTCTCAATGCTACTTGTAAAATAATACAAGGACACCATTTAGGACAATAAAGATTTATTACGAATTGTTCAAGAAGTAGTCATTTGCAAAAATTGAATGGTGGAGCTGAGAGGCAATCATTCCTCTAGGAGAGATTATGACGGGCGCGTCTGGAGACATGCGAATCCTCTTGAGGGGCCTGATTGCATTGCACACTTCTGAAACGCGCAGAATTTCTGCAGCCGAGTAAGTTGAATAACAGCGGTCCTTAGAGAGCAGAAAGCTTGCATCCTGATTCATGAGCTCTCCGAACGCAATTCTGTTTTCTGTTGGCCCACAGATATGTTTCTCCCAGCTAGTTTTCCCTTTGGCTGCAGCTGCTATCGGTGTGCACGAAAACGGTTGAGCTACTCCGTGCGACGTAGCGGACACAAAGGATAAGGCGCCAGTTTTGGAGCACGGATGCGATTTGGGGTCCTTCTTCAAAATAGACTCGATGGAAAACGGACCGTTGAACTTGGTGGTGCATGCCTTCTGGACAGCAGGGCAACTTGGCTCTGGTGCGTTGATGACTTTGAAATTGTCCGGACGTGTGTTTGCGTTCCCTTTCACTCTGGAAGCCAGTTCGGGGAAGATGTCCAGCATGCCCTTGAAGTGGCGTCGAAATATTTTTGGAGTGATCCGGCTTTCATCAACTTTCCAGAAATTTCTTTTTGAATGTGGTTGATCTGGATTGACAGGCACCTACAAAACAAAGACATGTTTGGATTGTTGAAATCGCAGAGTCCTGGTCTTAAAACAAAGAAAGAAACAAACAAACAACTACATAGAGGAATGGTCCCACATCCTTGATCAACAGCATAGTTTGAGACACATACCTTGACAAAACAGTCGTTGGATGACAAGCAGACTCTGATATTATTTACAAGACCCTTTCTGTCCCCTGAGACGAAAGCTTCCAACTTGTCCATTATCTGGAAAAAAAAGAAACCAAATTGTTAATTCAGTGGGCAACACCTTATGATTCATGCAGCTGCCAGTGTTTTTTTTGTACGTTTTCACAAGCGTTTTACATAACACTTTGGTTTTTGATTGGGCTAATGAGTTTAAATGAAAGTTAATTAATAAATTGAAACATACCTATTAAAGAATTGCTGTGTTTCCTTTCGACTCTGCTGGATCAGGGACGTATACAGCATGTATCGCCGTGAGTTAGAAGGCAGTGGCCGTATAGGATGAGATTAAGGTAAAAGCTCTGTCAACGAACCCACGCCTCCATTCAGAGACCAGAAAACCCACACTGTAAGGGAAGGTTAAACACCTTGAGTCTGGCGCCTTAGACCACTCGGCCATCCTGACAAGAACGCGTCAGCCCGCTCAGCCAATGATCTTTTTTTGTGTGTGTGTGTAAACTCTCTCGTCTGTGATGGCGATTGCAACCCTTTTGTCAGAAAAGTAATTAACCGGTACTGTGCGTTAACCTGTTTGACAAATACATACAGGGCAACTTGGCTCTGGTGCGTTGATGACTTTGAAATTGTCCGGACGTGTGTTTGCGTTCCCTTTCACTCTGGAAGCCAGTTCGGGGAAGATGTCCAGCATGCCCTTGAAGTGGCGTCGAAATATTTTTGGAGTGATCCGGCTTTCATCAACTTTCCAGAAATTTCTTTTTGAATGTGGTTGATCTGGATTGACAGGCACCTACAAAACAAAGACATGGTTGGATTGTTGTAATCGCAGAGTACTGGTCTTAAAACAAACAAACAAAGAAACAAACAACTACATAGAGGAATGGTCCCACATCCTTGATCAACAGCATAGTTTGAGACACATACCTTGACAAAACAGTCGTTGGATGACAAGCAGACTCTGATATTATTTACAAGACCCTTTCTGTCCCCTGAGACGAAAGCTTCCAACTTGTCCATTATCTGGAAAAAAAGAGACCAAATTGTTAATTCAGTGGGCAACTGAATATGATTCATGCAGCTGCCAGTGTTTTTTTTTTTTGTACGTTTTCACAAGCGTTTTACAAGAGTCAAATCACTGACGTCGTGACGGTGCCATATTCTTCATATTAAATGACCTTTCATTCTGTACATGACATGTGTTTAGAAAACGCTATAAACGCGAGCCACCTCGGGCACAAGAGAACAGAAGCGTATCCATCCGTGCGATGGAAGACTCAAAGCTTTTCTTACCTGGCAGAAGGTGAGTCTCTTGTTGGGAGACTCTTGAATGACACAGGCAATGAGTCCCAAATATGTCCTGTGGCTTTTGGAGTATCTCTGATATTTCCTCTTTTGCGCACCGCTGGGTGGCGCCTGAAAGCACGCGCAGCTCCGCTGGAAGGAGATCTCGGTCATGTTGTGCATCTCTTCGCGGAAGAGGTTCCAGGGCGGAGAACAAATGGGAGCGCAGTAGTTTGGTACCGTTCACCCAAGGTGGTGGATATCGAGTGCTGAGACCTGCAATCCTTCGGATATGTACCCTAATGGAACAATGGGTCGAAGTGAAGGTGCGCATTCCTATGGGGATGTTGCCTTTTCAGACACCAGCAAGGTGTTAAGTGTGGAGGTGGTCCTGTCAATGAGGAATGCCGATTGTTTAGTTTCCATTGAAGAGTTATTTTAATTTACCCAAAGCTGTGAGTGTCGTTACGTTCTACAGTAATCAGGAATAACTTTCTCTAATACAGATAAACACCAAAGAGGCGTGCAAGATGCCGCATGTCATTAACAGTGTAAAAAACTCAGTAAAGGGGAATCCTATCCCAAACGTCATCGCAAATCATGGAGATGATGCAGAATTTGACAATTCGTCCGACATCTGTCTGCCAGAGAGTACTTAATATTCCCAGGCTGAATCAATGAGATATTATTGACATTGTTCTTTTTTTAAATGCTAAAGTTGTTCAAAAATGGATTGTGATGTCTGCGAAAAACAACAAAATGTAGGCAGCATTTTCAAAAGCAAACTGACTGACATGTAATCCGTGAGACAGAAAAAGATTAAAGGTCAGATTTATTAACAGGCAAAAATGAAATATTTTATGAGCGCAACAGAGGGCCATTTCATTCCCCGTGACTTTTTGTTTGAAATGCATATTTTTCTATTACCATAAAACACATTTACTATGTCAGCTTTTTTTCAAGTGTACTGCTTTTCATTGTGACAAAATTTTCATGACACCACAGTAAGATCAGAAAAGTGAAAAACAATAAACAGGTTGACTGAATTTCAGTTTTGTCCAGTAGGGGAAGTGTTGGCTGTAACAATGCTTAATGCAAAGCCAGTCTTAACATTTCAGGAAGGAATGGAATTCTGATTTTTATTCTTTTTTAGTGTCAGAATGAATGCTTATTTCTCCCCTACTACATTTTTACCTGCTTGTAAAACAAGTCACACCGAAGGCCCAGCCAAAAGCCGTTATTGGACTATTGACTGTAATCCATTCCGTTACCATTTCTATGGTACATCTTCCACAGTTTTCAAACCATGTGTTATTTAATGAATCCAACTGACCAATGGAGACATCCTTTTTTAACCCCAATACATAGACTATATCATACACAGTCTCAATTACTCCACAAATTACTATACTACAGTCATTACTACAATAAATTACTCAAGAAATGTGTTCCATCAATATAAAACACTGCTTTTTGCTAGTTGCAGAAAAGGACAAGATACTAAAGAGAATACAACTTATGTTCAAACAATAATCTGTGTGACTTAAATCAACATGGAAATAAGCCACAGCTTAAAGGTTCACGTTAAAGGGTACTGAATTACTTACACTGTACTCTTTGAAAAGGTCCTCCTCATTCTCTCCAAGATAGACCACGAGGCAGCAGATGGCAGCTTCTCTCCGTCTATCAACTGTGTTGTCCTGATTCATGAAAAAAATGTATCAGGGGTTCAATAAAAATCAGACGTACACGTACCCCAATGATGGCAATTTATTTGAAGAAATGAAGAAGATATGTTATTAATAATATGCAATAGACCTTTTTGATAGCAGCCATTTTGACATGAAATAGTAGGGCAAGAACAGGTATTACTAATGACATTAACGAAGGTTCTGTTCCATTTAAGTGTAGCAGAACCTTTCCAGTGAGCCAGCATAAACAATAGCAGGACCCTGGCTCTGTTAGACCTAAATGGAACGTAACCTTAATTCATGTCATTAGCAACACCTCTGCTTGCCCTACTATTTCATGTCAAAATGGCTGCTGTGAAAAAGGTCTATTCAAAATAAAGTTTAGTTAATAATTATACCTCAAGAAGCATGTCCTTAATGCGCCTGATCTTCAGGCCTGCAGCTCCTCCATTTGACTGGACTAAGGCCATCAGTTTCGGGGTGCACTGGTCCAGCTTGGCCACAAAGGTCGATTCAAGGCTAACTGTTGTTATCCTCTTGAATTCTTCATTTATCTGCAGGGCACACAAAAGAAACATGGTTTGAGAGAACTACTCTAACTCTAGTGGACATTTATCTACACCGTATCAATCCATAGTACAAAAATGCTAGTCTAATAAAACTGAGCAGGCCATCGCTCCATGAAGTCACTGATGGCAGGGGCCTCATTAACTATTTCCTGTCTGCGAAGAGAGAATGTCTTGACCATCCATTTTCTGAGCTACCACCTTGGAGTTATTCCTTTTCATCACTTCACTTAGGAGCTCCACTCTTTCTTTTTCCAAACTTGCAGTAGTTTCACCTTGAGCATGAGGGGGTAGGTAATTTACCTCAGCCTTCCTTGATTTTTTCACATTCTTT